CATGTTCCTGCACATGTTCCTGCACATGTTCCTCACATGTTCCTGCAGGAAAACTTCTCCAACTCGTCTTTTGTTCTCGTTTGTATATCGGCCAATAAAACTCCGTTTGATGTTCGTTTTGGTCGAAGCTTGAACGAGCCGCTGCAGAGGAGCCAAAGAGCCACATGTGGCTCCAGAGCCGCAGGTTGCAGACCCCTGGTTCAGAGGAACCGAACGTCAGCCGCTCGAGGTTCTTCTGTTGGTTTAGAGCACATATGTCATTCTTAAGGCCCGCGGGCCACATCTGGCCTGCCACGTCATTTTATGTGGCCCGCGAGAGCTTAAAGGGTCTGTAAAAAAAAAGTCTGATTGTCGTCATAACGAGGGGCCGTTTACACGACGCACATTTTGAGTGAGACCGCACCTTTCTCTCTGTGCATCAGCTGTTCAGTTACACGACAACCCACCTCTCAGAGAGCAGGTTTGTGTTGGACCGCCCGCTGAGGTGTTAAAGCACATGCTGGTCACACACGCTGACCAACGGCATTCATCCAACCTTTATTTCTACAGGTTAGTCTCACTGAGCCTCAGGGACTCATTTAAAGAGAGACCTGATTCAACACAGCGTGATGACAACAATAGACAATCATAAAGCATGCGTACAAACTGAGAATTTAATTATTTCCTGTCAACAACAATGGCACCAGAGTGTAACATCCTGCTTTCTGTGCCACGACTGATGGAATATGTTTTGGGTCTCGTAGTTAATCTACGCCTGAATGTGCTGCTGTGACCAACATCTGTTGGAAGAGACGCCAGTCTGATCCAGTTCTACTTTATCTACATTTACTGAACCAGGCAGGCAGATATTTCACACGTCGCTGGACTATAACATACAAAATGTGCTAAATAATAAGAGCAACAATAATAAACAGTATTTCTGTTATATAATGAAGTTACCTGGACATTATGTAATTCAAGTTGTGATTTAAACGATGATGTGAAACATGTTGTGTGATAGTAGAGATGAAAATGAAGACATCAGGTTTATTTTGTTGTTTATTTATTCAACACCACAAAGTTTATGTCACACAAACACTGATAATTAAACTGAACACACTATTAAAAACATGTTAAATGTAAACTACATTAATGAACTGGACCCTTCTTCTCTGTTGTCATCCTGACGCCATGTTGTTTGTCTGGCTCGTTCAGGCCGTCACTGCTTTGCTTAATGCAGATTAAAACACTGAACGGACTGGGAAAAAGGACTGAGGTGAAGGTTTTCAAGGCAGAACCCAGTGGTGCAGGCAGGACTCGGAGACCAGATGGTTAAATGAGAAGCACTTTAATAATAAAAATAATGAAGCTGTCGTGGCAACAAAACGCACGTTCTTGGAAGACACGTAGAAAATCACAAGGAACATGTAGGATCTCAGGAGGGAAACCAGACAATGCCCAGACAACGAGTAACACAAAGACACAGATTTATATCAAGGTCAAGGTTCTTTACTGTCATTCACTTCACATGTGGTACATGAGGTGGAACGAAACTGTGTTCACAGGGTCCCAGATACATCCAACAAAAATACAAATTGTAAAGAAAAACAATAACCAGATCCAAGCCATAAACTAAGAATACACTAAGCACTAATAGTACACAAGAGCAGCACGAACACGAGTCTGTGTGAGCAGACGAGGACGAATGAACACAGCAACATGAAACTAGAAAGTTCCTGGAGAAACTTTGATGGGGACTGCCTATTTATTATTAATAATAATTTTTCATTTAGCCTTTATTTATCCAGGTTACTCTCATTGAGCCACGAGAACTCATTTTCAAGAGAGACCTGTTTAGGGAGCACATGGTGGGGGTTAAGGGCCTTGCTCATGGGCCCAGAGTGGGGCGAATGAGGGTGGGGGCAAGTGTGGGTGTTTCACCTACCCCACCCACAATTTTGATGTTGTCGGGGCCGGGGCGTGAACCGGCGATCTTCGGATCACAAGCCCACCTCTCTAACCTCTGCGCCACCACTCCCCCAATAAATATAATATAAATATAATTAATAAATATTAATTAGTATTAATATCAATACTAAATACTAATTATTAAAATAATGATGAATTTATTAATTTTTGTTAAAATAATAATGAATATTGACTATATTCACACCAATAATTAGTATTAATATTAAATATTACTTATTAATATTCATTATAATTATATTAAAATAGATAATTATGAACATTAATCATTTATAATTAAAACTTATTATTAATATTACTAATTAATAATAATAATAGGTAATAATAGGTGCCTTCCTTGCATGTTGAACCAAAATGGCTCCATATGTTACTCAGTTTCTGTGAAGAGTTTTTGGGGACTGCATGGCAGGCACCTATTACTCTACACCTCGGAAGAGTGAATACATTTCTATCTCCGTTAATGCGGCCCGAACCACAGCGTCTCCCCCCACTAAAGTTAGATCAAAACGACCGGCTCGGCCCCGTGATGTGTGCTATTACATTTATTGGCATTTCAAGTTACCATGGCGACGTCATTTGCAAACAAAGACGCAATATTTCACCAACTCCAGGAACTAGCTGGTGACTGCCCACTTATTATTCTGCACCTAAAAAGCGTATCTTTTTCGACTTTACTGCGGCCCGAACCGCAACGTGGACCCCCACAAAAGTTGTATCAAAACGACCGGCCCGGCTCCGAGATGTGTGCTATTACTTTTATTGGCATTTGCAGTTACCATGGTGACATATTTTGCTAACAAAGATGCTAAGTTTCCTATAGGAAATGAATATTAGAAAACTCTACTGAGTAACATATGGAGCCATTTTGGTTCAACATGTATGGAAGGCACCTATTATTACCTATTATCACCTATTATTATTAATTAGTAATAATAATAATAATAAATATCAATTATAAATTATTAATGCTCATAATGATCTATTTTAATATAATTATTATGAATATTAATAACTAATATTTAAGATTAATACTAATTATTGGTGTGAATATTATTAATATTCATTATTAATTATGAATATTTTAACAATAGTTAATAAATTAACAATAAATTAATCATTATTAATATTAATAATTAGTATTTAGTATAGATATTAATAATAATTAATAGTAATATTTATTATTATTATTAATTTAATAATAAATGGGTAGTCCCTGTCAACATTTCTCCAGGAACTTTCTAGTTAAATCTCTTCAATGCACATTTATCAGTCTTTATTTGAAAACATGTAAGCATAAACACATTTTCAAACCAGACAACAGAAAGTTGATGAATTTAAAAATCTGTTTGTTACCACAGTAAAGTAGTTTCTGTAACTGAAGTTATTCGGTGTGTGTCACCGAAAGCATAATTTGACAGCAGCATTGCACATTCCCACAGGAGGGCACTGTAGCTGAAGCTTCAACAAATGAACCTATTTTTGAAACATTTGGCCCAGCTGGTTCAGTGCTTCATAAAACTTCATTTGCTCGTCACTACCTGTGAGGACACGCAGCTGAAACACGTCAGGGGAAATGATCAACTGGAAACCAGGAAGTGCAGGAACAGAGACACAACACCAGATACCAGGAAACAAAGCACATCCTGCAGAAAAAAGAACTGAGGGGGAAATTTAAATTAATAGTTGCTCCAACGTTTCTCTCTCCACAGTCCTCCTGCACTGTCAGTGCCTTGTTTCAGAACCGGTCCACCTCTGGTGGGAGGGCAGCTCCTCCTCGCAGGAAAAATAAAAACTCAGTTGTTGTGTAACTGAAGTAAACACAAGCTAACATTATTAAGAACGTGTATTTACCTGCTGTAGCTTGACTGCTGCTGATTTACCAGCAGAGCAGGAAGTCCGACATCATCCTCGTCAGTTCTGCTCTGCTCAGTGACCGGTGTCAGGTCCAGGCAGGTCCAGTCAGTGACCGGTGTCAGGTCCCG